AATAAGTTCAACAATCAAATTAGAGATCAGTGATTAAAACTCAACTTGGATGGGACTTGGATACGTGGCAATTGCCGGAAAACTTTATTAAGGAGGTGTTTAGGTGCGCATGGCGATCTCGGAACAGCAGGTATTGGACACACCCGTGATGCCGCATCCCGCTGACTTCATTAGGCAGAATCTGTTTCATCATTGGCACAACCCAGAAGCTATTGATGCTAACCAACCTGCAGTCGTGGATGGGGGCTGAAAATATGAAAAAAAATTCCTTGTGAGGACAAGAACATTTTGAAGAGATTTATCATGGTATTATAAGTGGTATTAGATTGTGAAATGCTGATGCTATCAATGCCATGTACTATAGGATGAAGTTGAGTTGAGTTGAGTTGAGTTGGAAATACAGTTTTGATAGGTTACAGGTTACCATGCAGCTAGTATGCATTGATGTTTAATTCTTTGCTAAAGTGTTTATTTGCTTGTTAAATTCTTAGCTGCTCATAGACTTTATTTCATTTTCTTGCATTCCAGTAACTATAATTGTGACCATCACAAACTGTTTAACTTCATAAAAGTGCTAATCCATGAAACTGATGCTAATAGATTACATGGATGGGTAGTTTGGTAGGGGTCTATCCTTAATTGACCAAGTCTGTTTTTCCAATTTACATGGCCAAAATTCTGACAGTACATGATGGATGGATGTAGTAGCCCATGCACAAACAAACTGTCCCTCAGGCTGAATATGCCCCAAATGCATGATAAGTTGTTATCCTTTCTAATTTAAATGGGTTTTATCACAAGATTTGCCTCATGTAAAGTTTGTGTCTCACGATCAGAATCAGATGTTGTTCAAAATATTATAAAAGCTGTAGTATTGACGTAAACTGCTAGAGGAAGGTTGTAACTGTGTACATAATTACATCAGGTAGCTATGCTTCACTTTGAGTTCTGGCAATGCCACTCAGACTTGAACACAAATGCTTAGCTTTTGCCCCCAGCTTTATATTGGAGGCAGATTCCATAATCCCTGTCTGTATAAAGTCATCCTTGTTCTGTACTTCCTGCTGAATGATAATCTTCCAACTTAGTCCAAATGTCAGTCAATTTCCTCAACATCTGTTATTGTGACACTCTGCTAGTGAAGCCCTGCACACCACCACCCATGTGTGCCGATATTAAAAGCTTAATTTTCACAACTTCTTGCTTGAATTGATACAAATTGCCCTGCATAGCTCCTGACATGATTCCTAATTTCCCCCTCCTCCCCCTGTGCTGCCAGGAGGAAGTGTTGTGGTTCCAACCCACTGCAAACACCTCCTTTGTTTCACAAAGTTGAACCCTCCTCCCCTTAATTATAATCAAAACATGTCTCTGTTCTAATATGAGCTAATCAAGTAGAAGGATGCCTGTAAATTTCCCGTGACATTCGATACGCCACAGCCTACAGGGATATTGCAGTTTTAAGACCTGAGTTATGAAGTGTTGAATTGCAATTGAAGTGTTCATATATTTGTGAATATAAACTAATAAGGCCGTATAGAGAGATAAATACATTTTCCTCATGCATGAAAGATTATGCATGCAACTTTCTGAAGTGTGACATTAATATTAATTGTCCTTGCATTTGCAGAAGATTGTGTTGTAAATTAGATGAACAAATGTCGGCATGATTCACAGTCTTGATACCCTGCATAGCATTATACAATCAGCCCCGTGTATGCGCTTTAAATCAAATGTCTTAATTGCACGACATGGAGTTTTGGGCTCAAATTAAGGCAATCTCCCCCCAAATATGTGCTAATTAAAACAATATCCAGTTGACGATGCTTAATTTGTAACACTTCTCCGATCTCATCAGGAACCATCCTCAGGGGGGATCTTAAGTTCACAGTAAAAGTTATCGGATGGTAAATTGAAATCGAATTGCTCATCTTGCCAAATCTTGAGCGCCAATGAGGTACTCAATCAAAATTGAAGGGTGTATCTCACTGCATCTCAGCCAATTATTCACAGCTCAAAGTGTATCAAAAGTAGTGGTGTGATAATGACAGAAAGGGCTGGGTTATCATCACAGTTCCCTTCTCACATGTGTGAATGTGTGCTGAGATAAGCAGGAACTGGCCCTGAATACCTTAGCTGTGCATACTGGGTACTTCAGACAGCTGAAGTGGCCATCATGGGCTGAGTAATCTTAGGGTTTGAAACTGTCTAACCTTATGATTGGTCATCTATACCTTGGGTTCAGAGTTAAGATGACCGATAGGAGGGGACATTTGAATTCCTTAAATAACACTACATGTAAATAAAACATACAATATTATAACAAAGGCAAATTGATGGAAAGCATTGTATCATTCTGTAGTGATTTTGTTCAATTTTGAAATTGGAGTTGGACGAATGTTTGCAGGTCTGCACATAAAAATTCTCTACCAAAAAAGTTATCCCACAAGAGTGTCCAATTTATGCCCCACTAAAATGATCGTAATTCTTCCCTGGCTGAGTGAATCCTCCCATCCTTTCATCTGTTGTCCACAACCTGCTGACATGGCAGTTTATCAGGGAAACCTTACATGTTGGACACAAAGGAACAACCCATGAAATTATTGTTACCAGAAGATAAAGGCAGCCTGCAGATGTCTTGGGGAAGCTGAAAAAACTTCTCAGCTGGAGTTGCATGGTCTTGCAAGGCCTTTCCATCAAAGGAAGGCGGAGGTTCGTGTGGCGGCAAAAAAAGACGTATGACTCCCTGCAGGTCCTTTGAAGGTGTGCTGGGACCACCCATGGGATGGAAGAGATGTACAAGTTGTTACATGGGAAAGCTCTTTGTGCTTGTCTATGATGCTATTGGCTGAAGACAATGAAACAGGTGGAGGGACAGCAGTTGGAGAAGAACCCTTCCTCCTTTTCCTTTCCTTGTCTGCCATAAGATACACTAACAAATGACCTTAGATTGTTGACATAAAACTTATACCATCAACAAGGTCATTTTTCTGCAATCTTCAACAAAGATCTTTTCAATGGATTGTAGAATGAGTGGTGATTTTGCAAATACAAAATTGTAGATAGATGACAAAGCATCAAAGGTGGCCCAGGTAGCCTTCAGATTTTTATTTTATCACTAACTAATGATTGACAGTTTGGCCAAACTATCTTGTTACAAACCAACAAAGTCTAGTGGGTGATGTGCTGTTCCGAAGAGCTCTGCATGCATAAACATGACAGTGTCCCAGAGAAAATGTGGGCATGCTTTTGCATGAACATTTCTCTGCATGATGGATGGCTAATAATGCTGTTAAACTTTGCCATTTTCAGGTAATACAGCATGTTTAAACATCCCTCCTTAATTGGGTTTGATGGCTTATAATTGGGACAAATTGACGTGTTGTGACAGCTTATGGAGTGGCTTGTGTTGGTTACCTTCGAGGGCGTACTCCACAGAAGGACGGAAAACCTCTTTTCATCCAGGCTCACTAATATTGTTTTTTACAAGCAAATTTCTAACTTGTGTGGAAAAATATCCGGTTGTGTGCTCACTTAGAGTGGGGGATAATGCAAGAGTTTCTTTTGTTTGGCCCTTGATCTTTGAGTAATTGCGTCAGTCATTGCAATGTTGTAAAGTAGAATATTTCGTAGGATGCTGCTGGCAGCATGATAGTATGATGTCAGAGTCTGCCAATTTGGTATCCTTTTAACTTAGGATAAACAGTTTTATGAAAGATACAAAGGTTGGAGGTTTTGGAATTCAAATGGTTCCCTGCAGTAAAATAACACATTCCCCTTTATTTGCACAACAAAAAGATTTTCTACCATTAGTTTATTAGAGAAACATTTGGAGAAAAACAGTCTCAACTTTAAGTGCCTCTTAAGCTTTTCCACAACTTACAAGAGTCAATAGAGATAATACCAATACCAATTATAGTACGTATATACAATTACAGTTTGGCTTTCAAATTCTGGAAGTGTTCTATCCAGGCAAAAGGAATTAAATTATGTCAGTGCACCTGAAGCTGGTTTTACTTCAAGGACAATTATTGTAAAGTCCTCATAAGATTTACTGAGTTAGCCTTGAACTTTACATTTAACATAGCAGTGACAAATTTTGGATAGTATTACACACTATTCTGATTTAGTAGTGCTTCTTGCTGTGACAATTTTCCACGATGTTTTATTCAGCTCTTGACTGTGTGACCCTACCGCAGTTGCCGTTTCTCCTTTGAGCCGCCTGAAGGATAGATGGCAAAATCATAGTCCATGGTACATCAAGGGAGAACTGTGGCCAATTCTGTTAGAAAACTCATTCTGACCACATCTGTGATGTTCTGTACCCAGGTGCCAATCACTTTCCCTGGCCCTTTTGGAGAAAGTGGAGACAGATGTACTTTTCATGTCAAAAAGGTCGATCAAACCGTGGGACTCTAGTTCATAGTGGTGTTACTATGAAGTGTCTATTTCAGTACAGTCAATACATGGAAGGTCCATACTATTATTGCTTGGTAGATGACAAATTTGTCAGCGATAGTCTGTTAATTGCTCCTTGATGGGTATCATTGTTTCCCCCTAAAAGTTTTTGTTGGCAGAATGGTCACTGTTAGAGGTAGTCCAAGTTACATGTACTTTTCTGTCAATTTGATGGTAAATTGTAATAATTATTGTGTAAGTGTTCCAAGTTTGTAACTTTTCAGAATCTGATATACCCAGTAGTACCATGATCACTGTAATGGCTAAGAGAACATTGGACAGAATGATAAGACTATTTTTCATGGAATTATTAATAACTCATACATTTGATTAAATTATACATTTTGTATAATAAAAAGTGGCCTGCAGGCTGATTTGAGCTTCTCATGAATAAACAAACATTCAAACAAACAATGTGAGATACTTGTATTATTATAATAACATTTATATTTCATGTCATTTTGAGCATGTCTATATGACGTTGTTAAGAACACCAAATACTTAATCTCACAACAGACTTTTCTATTTTCCGTGTTCTGCAGGCACTGGGCAGCTTTTACTTTGTACATGAGTCTATACGAAATGCATCAATATATGATTGGCAAGGTAAGTTCTTTCTATCACTTTCTCCTGTACATAAAATGTCAGCAAAATGAGGAGGAGAATCTTACTGAAAAAGACAAGCAACAAAGTGAGATGATAAGCTCTCTGGAAATACAATATTTTCATAACTGTTTGAACTTCACATTTGAACTGTTATTGATTTGAACATTTCTGGGTAAAAATATCACATATTGTGTCTGATCCTTCTAGATTGTGTTATTCCCACGGTAGTTTCTTGACATTATACCAGCTGTGTCTTTCACAGATATACACCCAGATGCGACCGTTGTTTTATAATGATGCATGCTAAATCGAAAGTTGAGAAACAAGAAAAAAGAGATTTTGATGGAAGAAGCTGCCTGCTTGGCCCTGTGACCCATCCAAAACAATCCTATTTAAGTTTCTGTGATAAGCTACAAAAGACCTGACCTCACTTGGCTTACTAATCCACCATAGAAAAATCTAGATTCAAAGACTTTAAAACATTGTATTATCTTACACCTTATCCCTTTTGTTTCTATTTTGTGATCGTTTTTTTCCCCATTTTTCGTATGGTGTGTTTTTCTTCATAATAATTGTTACCGCTGAGGGCAACTATCAAATCTCAATATGAATAGGCAAAAACATAGAGAAATCTTTCACCTTCAATTTAGCTTAGGAACCATAGAAAGTACACGGTCAGGTGTTTGATATAATTTCTGTTGGACTGCCTTGCATAGCTTATGTTTTCTTAAGGAGTTTAAAACATCCTTAAAAATAGATTGTACAGTATATATTCTCAGACTGATAATTGTTTCCACAATTTTAACTACTGTCTATGTTTGATCCATCCCTGTAGCACGGAAGTTCCGATCTCTCTCAGGACGCGAGGTTTACAAGGGGAACATCAACTCAATTCCCTTCAAGCACAAAGAAAAGTACCCGCAGGATTTTTTTCCTAACGTAAGTAACAATGTCATGTTAAAACTTGGATGTCAATTTCGTTTTTCAATTTCACGTCAATAGAAGATTTTGTCAGGGGGGCCTAGTGCCAAAAAAAATTATTTTTGCAGTGACTAAAGGCTTAGTAAAACATGATACAGAAGTGTGTGTATTATGTGGTACTGGACAAAGTTATTTTACAGATTGAACAGCACAAATATAGTCACCTTGGATGGGGTCTGCAAATAGCCCATGTATGATATTATAGTATTTCTGGGGTTCAGTTTTGTAGTTTTGGTACTTGTGATATGGTATTACAAGATGATCGGTCCGAGAAAGGGGGATAAAAAAGACATTTCTGGCTGATGTGAAGGATATTATCGATTTGGAGGGGATATCAGGAAGTTTTATGCTCTGGAAATGGTTACAAGTAGTAAGATATCATTTCATCCCGACATCAATGTGCTGTCTTCAGACACATAAAACGTTATGAGTATAATAAAGATGTCGCAATTTGCGGGGTATATTGGTGTTGACAGTGGGGTGAGTAGCGTTAGATAGGCCCCCGTGGTCCGACATGATTCCTGTAGGGAAATCCTGCAGCTCCGTGCAAACTTCTGTCCACAGTCGTGCTGAGAGAAGCGTGTTGCTCCTGCTGAGAAAGTGGGCCCAGGCCGATGCTTCTCATTCACAGTTGTGACAAAGCTCACTAGCCCCCCACCTGGCGCATTCATAGCCCCTCTGTCAGTGGTCTTGTACCTACGGCGAACTTTCCCACTGCGATTTATGTCCTCCTCGTGCCACCAACGTGGAGGGCGGCGTATTTCTTCCACGCCTGCCGCAGAGATTCCCTCCCCGAGATAATTATCAAAGCGGCACATTGAAAAGGGGTAGCTCTGAATCAAGGGTAGTGTGTATCCCTCTCAATAGGAGAAACACATTACTCTCAAATAGAAATCAACTATTAAACATTCTTTTCTCCTTTTTTTTCCATACAGTTTAGATGGTCTAGAAAGGGCTTCCTTCGGACACGTTGGAGCATATGTGATAGGTAAGTCAGCGACGTGGCACGGATCACAGATCGTTGCTAACACAAATTTTTAAGGTACTGTAACATTCGCGGTAGGTCAAGGGTCGTCCCCTGCTTTTCTTGGGATTTCGCACACGGTAGGGGACCTTTCTTCCCGAGGTGAACAACGTGTCAGACCAGCTCCACCATCTGGACAGGCGGACTTGATTTATTCTCCCTTTGAGGCGTGTGTGTTCTCTCGCTGTTCCTTCTTTATTGGCGTATGAAAGGGCATTGTTATCAACCCAGGGTTTCATTAAATTTGAATCAAGATAGGCTGACGTTAGGACCAAACAGAATTGTAAGAATGTGAGAATGGAGGGCAAAATGCAGATGCAGGGAAAAAAGTCATTGCAAGTATTTCACAGTTCGATAGATGAGCAGCTTCTGAAATCTATAACCAACTCTGTACATCATAGACTACAAATTTATGATTTGAGAGATAAAATCATGACAATATAAACCAAAGAGAAGTTCACAACTATTTTAATGTGCAGTCAGAATGATTATAATCACAAAATTGTACAACATGTATTCAAACAGTCTTCCTAATCTAGTTACAGACTCGAGTGTGCCACTACGTGTCCATACACATATTATAACAAAATCTTTGAAAATCAAACCATTGGTATAAGACTACTATCCAGACGTAGTGTGGTGCAGATTTCAGGTATATAAAGTCCTTGTTCTACATTAAAAACCGTCCCAGACCAGATGGTCAGCCACGCTCTCGGACAGGTTCTGGCCCATTACGTCTCCTCCAGGGAGGCTTTGTTAGTTACGTAAACAAGATTAGATGCGGACCCTCGTACAATTGGTGTCGCTCCACGACCACAATGCAGTTGTTTAACCCACCACGGTGTCACAACTGGATATCTCGCCGAAACAGATTCTGTCCATTTGCTCTGGACTAAGATGGCTTGTCATTTGAATTTTGTATGTTTGTTGCCAAATTTGTCTGGCAACCTGCACCATGACACTCCAAGCAGGGACCAAACTCTCAGTTTTAAAAGGCTGTACAATGTATATAATCAACTAACCCCAGTGTCTCTCTGATATGGAGATTTTTATTTGCACCATTGTTCGCATCCCTTCCCATATGGTGTGGCTACAGTCAATTTTTCTGCTACGAGACAAAGAGTCTTTGAGTCAACTTCTTGATACAATTACTGTTTCTGTGATTGTATGCGGCGCCACAGAGCGGTCGCTACGGGAGTGGGAAACGAACCAGAGGGAATGCTGCCACGTGTGCAGAAGAATAGCTCCTTCCCAACCCCTGACTTTTGATATTTTTTGAGGAGGTAAAAATGGCCTTGGAGCATGAATGGCTGCAAGAAAATTATGAGGTTGGGCAAAGGGTCGGGAGCTTTTTAAGAGGTAGCCAGTGTACTGGAAAGAAAGGATAGGACTTTTAGATGAGGAAACATGAACTGCACCATTAAGTGGTCTCTGGAATAGTGATTGGAACATTTAGTCGATTGTCTGATATTCATGACTGAATCAAAATGAATTTCATTGAATTGTTTGCAGAAAATGTTATGGAGATGCCAAGTAATACTAATAGATTTTAAAGAAGCACTTGCAATAATTATAGGATCACTTTAGAATGACAAAAAATGTAGATTTATTGTCGTCTTTCTTTAAACGACATATTCATAATCCAAAATACTTTGTAGTACATGTACTACATGTACTAGCTGGCTTCAGGCTGTTCAAAGAAACATAGCAAAAGCAGTACACCAATGGAAATGCATGTATGCAAGGAGGTTAGAGAGGGATGTATATAAATTAATTTGTTTTCAGACCTACATGTACGTGTACTTGCACAGTAGTACTTGAGGCAATATACATGTATGTAATACTATTATTGTACAGTAGTACAATGTATTAAAAGTATTCACTCTGCACAAGTTAGTTAATTCAGCACAAGTTTGGCTTGAACTAGAAATTAATAATTAAAAAATTTCCTGTGATAAACTATGATGATACTTACACAGATGATAATTGTTTATGCCAAGTATGTCAACATATGACCTCATCTTCATATAGTACAATGTACCTCTCTGAGTATTGTCGTGCTGTGAGGTCCAAAACTGTCCTGAAGACAACTGTACAGGGCAGACCTCTGTGCCCTTCTGACACATAAATCTGTCAATTAGAAGTGGTATATTGTTTGCCCCTACTTTGGTTAATCGCAGCACTGCCAACATAAGCATTGCCTTTCAAAAACCCTTGAAATGTGTTGCTTTATTTAGTGAGTTAATGACTATACATTTCTTTTTCCATGCAAAATTAAATGTCTTATCATTTTACTATCAAGTTACTATCTTTACAACTTGGAAGTTAGATTTAGAGCATTTGGGTGTTTTATAACTGCAAGACTGACCCACTAAAAATACATGATTGTACAACTGTAAGTTTGAAATATAAGAACAGGGACTTAAGGCGAAACTAGTGTCAGCTGACTGAGGATGAACTGACTTGAACTGATACTGATAGGATATTAATTTTGATTCACATTGCAATTGAGATAGCCAGAGGTACAAGTATAATGCAATGTTCTCTGTGGTCTTTTTTTTCACAGCATATTTGACTTAGTGAACATCCACCTATTCCATGATGCTTCCAACCTCATTGCAGTAGAGACCTGGCCATCAGCCTACAGTAATTACAGACATCGAGCATTGGAGCACACTCTCAAAAGGTGGGCCAAGTGCTAAGCATTTCAGGAACACTTCTTTTCAAATTACTAGTATGTGGAGAAAGACGACTTTTTCTGTCTACACAAAGGTATACAGTCATATACTGTACATGTACCTCATACTGCAATCAGCTGTTAAATGATGATGCAGGAAAAATATTTGACTGAGATTATATAGCAGTCAACTGTTATATTATCATACTAACATTACATGCCTAGTTATTCAGGTGCCGATTTTTGTCATGCCCAATACAACTTTGTACCAATGTCTGTCATGATCTATGAATAGTTATTTTTCAGAGGTCATCTTCCATAACGCTCATATGGATGTTATGGCACAATTTAAATTAGATATTTGATTTAGATTTTGAACATTTTCCCCACAGAATTAGTGAAGACAAGCATGAGAAGGTTCCCCATTTCATCTTTGGTGACTTCAACTTCAGATTGGACACTCAAAGTGTGGTAAAGGTGAGGAGATGGATGGTATTTTTTTTATTCTCAGCCATTGCCTTCCTTGAAAGTCACGCTATACTAATTGTTTGAACTGGTAATGAACAACAACATTCAAAATGTCTTACAGATAAAATGTCAACACTCATAATTCCACCAAGTACACTATAAGACTGACACCTTAAAATAAAATGCCATTGAGGCCTTCTTGTCTTAGGGAGCTACTGATGCTGTACTTAGTAGGTCTTTTTAAATCCTCCGTTTTTATGCGACGGTCACATGATATTTGACATTACATGTAACATTACTGTAGTTACATGTATTTACTTTGATTCCCTCACACTTTTCTCTCACCACTTTTGTCAGTCAGGGAGTTTTAAAAACTTGATAAACAGATTGTAAGATTTTTTGTAAGATTGTAAGATTTTTTGCCCATAACTTTTCAAACAATCTCATTCTGCATACTAATCAACAGTTAAGTGAGCATTCCAGTCTACTTGGGTTTAAGCAAGGATGTTCTATCACATGTGGAATGTCCTTGCTTTTAGGTATGATTCATTATGAGCGGTTAATTTTACAGCAGAGCTGAAGTTATGCAAGATAATATTATGGCAATATATACATGTAGTAGAGCCACCAGATATGTCGAGTGATTGAAAATTTGTGACAAACTGCATGTAACTGATGCCAGGGAGTACTTGTGATATAGAGGTACAATTAGCGCGTTACCACAATACCTCCCTATGATGGGTTAGGGGAAGCTGTAGCGATCACTCATGTTCCATCACAATAATAAAACTGGTGGTTTGTAAAATGCCAGAA